TGACTCTCTGGGGCTGGCAGGATGAAAGGTTGAAAATAACCCAGGTGTGAAGTCACTGAATTCACAAATCCTGAAACTGCCTCCCTCTGTTCTTCCTGTTGTGTCCGATAATGCATCTCTCTCATTGTTCAAGCCATGCTGAGTTGATTTTTCTGTTACTTGCAGACAAAATAATTCTAACTGATTCAGAAAGTTATTCTCTCTCTGTCCCTCATTTCCTCATCTGTAACATAACAATGCTATAGTACCTAGTCCATAGGATTTTTGTGACAAATAAATAAAATAGAGAATAATCCAGGTATTTTTCTCTTTATCTAATTTTTGCTACAGTGCATGAAAAATTCAATACCTGCCAGCTACTATTACTATTCTGTTCCTTCAGATTTAAAATGTAGTGAACATTCAGTAAATACTTACTTTTGAAGGAATGAATGAATGAGGTCACTGTAATGCAAAAGGGAATGTAGAGATGCTAATAAGGACAAAACAAATTCCAATGAGAGATGGAAAGGTTTATCCTGGACCCTGGTTCCAAATCAAGCCCTGGGGGCTACATATGGCCTGGGTCAGGTTGATGAGGACTCACTCCTGGCAAGTCTGGAATTTTTATGTAGAGAGCTTTGAATTTAAAAATACCTATTGGGGTTTGCAAATATTCTAGGTTGTGGGATAGGCGGGAAGAAATGAGGCTTAGAAACTGCCTTCCAAAGTCCCCCAGGGTGAGGCCTCAGCCTGGGTGCATAAGGATTAAGGAAAAAGAAGTCAGGAGCTTTGTTACATCTCTGAGTTAAGCAAAAGGGCTTTCATTTTGCCTGAGGGAGAGCAACTGACTGTTTCTCCCAAAGACCTTGTTTGAAATTAAGGTCTTGGAACACTGGATTCAATTAACTACCAGTTTAAGAACCTTGGGGAATCTAACTTGCCATGTGCTTCATTTTCCCTTACAAATCACCTCCTGTTTCCTTGCCTTCATATTTCTCCCACCTACAGAGAATTCTGTACTCAGGACTGGGTCAAGACCAGCTTCCTTTTCCTGAGTTACAAGTGAGGAATACTGGGCAGGCTTTGCCTTCAGCGTCAGTTTTACTGTCAGCTTGGCCTACAGTCAAGTTCTTGATAAACACACACACACACACACACACACACACACACAACACAACACACCCCTCCAATCTGGGACTATACAGAGTCAGAGATGGATTAGACAAAATCTTTGTCCTAAGGAACTCACAGTCTAGTGGGAGGAGACAGATAAATTGATAAATGCCTCATTATTGGTAAATGCCGTAAAATAATCATAGTACTTGTTAAATCAAGTTTAGCCTGAATCTTCCTTCTCACATATTTTAATTTTGGCCCAAGGTTTTCTCTGTACATGGTGAACTATAGCAAGAGGAGGTGTAAACAGATGATAGCCTACACTTGTGCCAATCACCGAGTTTTGGCCAATCAAATGTAGCCAATGGTTGCAACCATGTTCAAATAAGGCAAATGGTGAGCTGCAACCAATCCAGCTGTTTCTGTACCTTACTTCCATGTTCTGCAGTCACTTTCCTTTTTCTGTCCATAAATCTTCCACCACATGGCTGCCCTGGAGTCTCTGAGCCTATTCCTGCTCGGAAGTCTGCCTGATTCGTGAATCGTTCATTGCTCAATTAAAATCCTTTACATTGAATTCAGCTGACATTTTTCTTTTGACATATTGAAGTCCACATGAAAACTGGAGAACACTGAAGAGAGGCTTAGTTAGGAACTGGATGGTGTCAGGACAGGCTTCACAGAGAGGTGATGCCTCATTCTGCTAAATCTTGCAGTGAGAGCGGGAATTTGCCAGGTACAGGTCTGGATGAAAATACATGTCAGCTGGGAGTTAACTGAGGTTCTACGCTGCGAGGGGCACAGAATATCCCTACAGCAAACTGGAATGAGGTTCTGGTTGGCCTAGGATTCTACCTGTGGTTCCTATTGCATTTGGAGGAATGCAGCTTGCTTTCCCTCTTATTTGATGAATATAACAAAACCCTCATTCTGAATTTAGTATATTATAAACAATTAGAAGTTCTGTTTTCTAGTCAAAACACAGTCTTCATCCTTAATAGGCTGCATGGCTTTTGACCCTTGAAACAGTATTAAGAAGTGGGAGGTAAGCACATTTGGGGTAGAAGAACAGACAGAGTTCATTAATCTGCATTGAAGAGGCAGAGACAGATCTAAGAGGGCTGCTGTAGTGGGAACGGGAGCTGGGGAAGAGTTGGGAAAAGGCCCAGCATTGCTGTGGCTCAGAAAAGATGCCTTCAAGGAGAGACTTGTGGAATGGAGCTATTTTCTATGACATACGATGTTTCATGTGACATAAATGCCCTCCTCCATCGTCTCTGTGATGTTGAGTAGATTCCCCTTGGTCACCGATACACTTATAGGAGTGGTTTGTTTCTAAGGAGCTTAAAGAAGAAAGTGACATAGTAATTGGTACATTATTTACTAACCTAAGAAAGAATATATGTACTTAACATTTAAGTGAGTAGAAAAGCATTTTCTCTTCACTGATGCCAAATAGATATTGAAATATATTTAAGAATAGCAGCTTACAGGAAGGCCAGCCACCTATTTTTTTTTGCCAAGTGGAGGGAATAAGATGCCTGAAGGTTTAGTGGTGTGTCCCTCCCTTTGGAGACTAGCAGGTAGTTTGGTGGAACTGAAGAGTGAGTGTGAGTTTGAGTGGGTGGAAGGTGATGGAGGAGAGATGGGCAGGAGCTGGATCATGAAGGTGCATGAATGCCTTGTAGAAAGGTTTCTGTTTATTCCAGTGGACTCTCATAGATTGTAAAGAGCTGCTGAGGAGTCTCTATTTATCCAATAGAGTCTTAGAGATCATGGAGAACTATACCAGAAGCAGTATAATGAGATCATTTGTACTACTCAATTTTTTCAGAGGGGAATTTGAGGGCTGAGAGTGGACATATTTCTGCCCAAAGTCATTCAGTGAAGTGTGACAGAGTTAACTTATATTGAGCTATATTCGTTCCCATTAGTTCCTCCCTATCTGTTCTCTAAGGTAAATAACAGAAAAGAGCATAAGGCATACTATAGTGAAGGTGTGGCCTGGGGAGCTAAAAGATAGGCTGATGTGGGTTTGAGTCCCAACCCATCACTTGTTGTTAGCTGTGAAACCTCAAGTGAGTTTCTCAGTGTTTCTGAGAACCCTGAGTAATAGAGATTTTTAGATGAAAAATGAGAATGGTAATGCATATAATACTGTGGAGATTTCGTGAGAATTAGAGAACATCACAAATGTAATTATTTATCGCAATGCCTAGTACATAATTCATATGGATTTCAGTCTACCTATTTGAATTCTTTTCTTTGGAGTCACAGTGTCTTTCTTTGCATATGAACATATCTGAAACACCTGAACACAACTTTCGCCATCTCCATTCCCACTTCTAAGTCTTCTCTTACGCAGCCTGAGCATCAATTATTGGACCATATAACTGGGTGTGCACCCTCTTCCCATTGAAAGTCCCTTCTCTCCCTTAAAGTGGGAGCACAGATTGAATAACATAGCACCTACTGGGGACGGACCTATGCTGAATTAACTCAAAGGCTAGTTCTCTCATGTGTGGTGATACATAAAACACAAATCCACTGAGCAGTGTCTTCCCTCCCCCACACAGAGGCTCCAGGAGGGTCAAATAGGTCTCAGAGTGTTGTCCCATGGGCACAAAGGAAGAATACAGTGTACTGTATTCACCCATTGTGAATACAGCACCATTATTCTTCTCTGCTCTGGAAATGGACCCAATGGGCACTTCTTTGTCAGACCCTATAGGCAAATCTTCCCTGAAAGAAGAGCCCTTTCTCAAGTTTCTTGTCCAGACTTACAGAGCTGTTGTTATCTTAACAGTTTCTCAAGGTAAATAGAAGGATGTAGACTACAGAAAGACCATGCTGCTTGAATCTATTAGCCCATATTTAAGATGGTGAATTTTAAATGTGCTTTTTAGAGTAATGCTTTGTCACTCATTGTGATGAAGCAAATACCCTCAACAAGTGTCAGCACCTGCTTGGATGATATATTTTTAGCAGAGTAAATGTTACCTGTCAGAAAAAATTAGTATCACATATACACTTGTCTCAACTTCCTGGTCCGGCATTTTCCCCACTATCATTCTTTATATACGTTAATATTCCAATCAAACTAAACTAGTTACTCTCTTTTACAACTTCTGCTTTCTTTCATTTGTGGGTTACTGATACAGTTTTCTTAGCTTAGAATGCCTTCTTGCCCAACAATGTTTGTTCAATTCTGTCTATCATGAATCATCTCAAATCCTACCATTTCCAAGGAGTTTCTCTCTTTCTCAGCAAAGAAGAAATAATTTCTTCTTTCTCTGAATGTCCCTGATACTTTTTCCTGAACCTCTTTTAAGGCACTTACATACCTCAGCCCTCCTAAAGTGTAAGCTCCTTGAGGCCTGGACTTACATCTTAACATCTGAGTGTTTTGCATCTTTGAGAGGCAATATAGCAGGAGGTCAAAGACATGGGGTCTGGGGTCAGGCTCCTGGATACACTCTGGGCTGTACTACTAACCAGCTGTGTGATCTTAGACAATTCCTGGCATAACATCATCACTCAACAATGTAAGCATTAACTGTTTATATTCTTCATAACACACAGGAAAGTGCATGGTATATCCATTCTGTGCTCAGTAAATGTTTATTGATTAAATAAATAAAAAGGCAAATGAAAAGTAGTTCATCCTCGAGTGTTTGTTGAATGAATGGATGAATGAATAATTTAATGGATTTGGAATAACATTTCTCAAGCACACTTCTTTTCACAGAACCAAAAGAAACTGTTCTCTCTTAAACTTACTGTGCCATTAAATAGTCCTCCCTTAGAACCATCTACCAACAAGATGATATGGCTTGTACAGTATTCTATTTTTGTTTGTTTTAAGAGTGATTATGCTAAAGGGCTGCTTCGAACGTTTGCAGATTGAAGAAAGAGGATTACTTTGCTTGCCTGTGATTGGTTTCTGTAGAAGAGCAGAACGGAAGTACCTTCACCACTCTATACCAATGGCATTTCTGAGTAGACAAGCTGAAATTCAGTAATGTCTCCAAGCATCGTGGCTCTTCTCTCAAAATGAACTTTGAGGCTGCTAACCCTGCATGACGTGGCCTACAGGACACTCCACTCCCTCCCTGTTCTCTTCAAACAAGAGAAGTTGCACAAGCTGGAGGGGCAGCTGGATCACAGTTTATGCTGCCCCCAGGATACATCTTTCATCCTAATGGTGCTTATTCAGCTGTGGGGATGCATTGGTATCTAGCTGATTTTTGAAAAAGTGCAAAAGTCCATTTAAATACACAACCAAATCCTCCTTTTGAGATAGGGGCCTTGTGTGGGGGTGGGGAGGAGAAGGATGAGAAAAATTTCCATCTTATTTTCTGATATTCTTTGCTTTGTGGGTGAATACTTACAGAGGTGCCTGCAGGCGGTTTTCCAGAGCCCGTTTTTGATCAAAGTCAATAAAGCTCTTTCTCTATGTAGGAAGGAAGCTCTCTTTTAGACTGCTTTCTTACTTTGTGCTTTCTTATGTAGATAAGTCATCTAAAATCACACAGCCACAGGTCCTTATCTGTCAGGGCCTGGTAGCTAGTACTAGTGGCATTTTTTTTAATCCAATAAACATGAATCAAGTTATTTCGATGGTGCCAGGCACTGAGACAGCTATAAATTAGGGATAGAGGGATTCAGAGGAAAAACAAACAGCTGCCTTTTCTATTGGTGTGTGTGTTCCTACTATGTGCCAGGTACAGTAACTTTTGTGTAATAGTAATGAGATAAAGCAATTTAAAAATTATTTCCATTTTATAGAAATGTAGAAGTGGAAACTCTGAGAAGTGAAATAATTTGCCTAAGATCATTCAGGAGGGTATTCAGTGTTTGAGCTGAGCTTTCTGATATTGGCCACTAGAGAGGAGTGGAATAAAGAAGAAAGGGCACCTTGGGAATAATTATTGGTATAGCAAAAGCAGGGGGTGGTGATGGGGAGATGGGAGGGCCAGATCAGGTTCTGCAAAGAGTTTTGTGCATTGTCATTTGAACCGTAATGAGAGAGAAGGTTGGATTGGGAGGAAAACTTGATAACATGAAGCAAGGTTTGGAATACCAAGCTCTGCCAGTTGAAATTCATTCTTAAACACCTGGATTTATTCCTGTCAACAACTGTAATATAGATTACTTATAGGTGAGACTAAGTTAATAAAGATAATCTGTCAAATAATCCATCAGTGATTTTTATTGCATTTCTCCATTATAAAACCAATACATACCCATTATAAACATTTTTGGAGTGTCAAAAAAAATAGAAAGAAAAAAATTCTCAGTGCAGCTACTATCCACCATTTGGTCCCTTTCTTTTTAGTATTTTTTTTCTTCCCTTCTAAATGCTTGGGTTGTTTGGTTTACATAATTATCATTATATTGTAAATAAAACTTATTACCACTTTTCACTTACTATTGTAACATATAATTTTATTTTACGTGCTATAAAGTCTCTAAAACTTACATTTCATGGTTGTAATCCACTCATTGAATATACCACACTTAATATAAACACTTAATATAAACTCTAAAGTAGAGTTGGATATTTAGTTGTTTTGTACTTTTCACACCTGATCAATAACACTTTGATGAAAATGTGCTTCAAGATTTTCTAAAAATTCAAATAATTTCTATAAGACGATTTTCCGGGAGTGCTGCTACCAAATGAAAGGTCACATGTACTTTTCAGCTCTTCTGTCATAAAACCAACTTAAGTGTTTTGTTTTTGTTTTTTGTTTTAGAGTACCAACAATTTGTCTGGTTATGTGCTAGACTGACTCAAGAATCTCCATTCTAGTGAGATCGCTAAAAACAATATGAAATATCATACAATGTTGGTGATGAGGAATATTACGAACCTGCGTCACATGTCATGATGAATCAGACTTTCTGCATCACGTATCATGATGAGTCATGACTTTCAGAGCTGGAAGGACCCTCAGAAAAGAATCCGGTCTTGGCCCAAGGCTGCAGTGGGCAAAGTATTTTAGAGCAGGCAGCAAAGGCCAGTACAAAGCATGTATTGAGTAAATGGCAGAGCAGTTTTCAGATCTCTAAAATCATCACCTCTGGGTCATTTCTAGCATAAAAGTTCTATGGTACCAAGACCAGCCCTCTGGCTTTATCTGCTTAAAGCTGGAATTCTTAGCATTTGATACAGCCCCATTTACAGGAGCATGGCATACTCCCTCAAATAAGTCAATCAATTAAGAGACAGTGTTCCATCAGAATTTCCAATAGGAAGAATTTGTTTTGCGCCATGTTTGATAGGTTTGTTTTCCCACATATCCCACTCCTAATGTACCCGAAAATTTATCTACCTACTCAACAAATATTTCTCCCTCTTCATACTTTCCAAACCTTTCTTGGGGAGATCACAGCCTCCCTCTATTCAGTTCTTAGTAATCCAATCATAGTATCCCAATTATGACCAATAAGATATGAGGGGAAACCTGCTGGGAAGCTTTTGGGAAAATTTTGTTCATAAAAAGTTGTCACATGGAAAAGATATCTTCTTTTGCTGAACATTTTTGTGTCTGCACATGGTGCCTGGAACTGCAGGAGCAACCTTGTGATCTAGAAGACAGTTAGGAAAATCTTTTGGGGATTTCATAGTAGAATCATGGGGGAAAAAACTGAGTTTCAAATGATGTCTTTGAGTTGATAAATTATATCTGAAGCCTCCCTGCATTTCTTGTTAAGTGACAGAATTATTCCTCATTGTTTACATGAGTTGACATTAAGCTTTCTATTATTTAAAGCTCAAAGCATCTTTGCTGCTATAATATATATGAATGAAATCCTCAATCATGGGGCCAGCTCATCTAGTTTGCCAGGGTACTGCATTAACAGTTTCTACTTTGGACAGGTGTGTGTTAAAAAAAATGCTCAGCTTTGCTCTTATCGCCTCAAGGAAATCTTTCTCATCCTTTGCCTAACCTTCACCTCCATTTGATTTGGATGTTTCTCCTCTGAGCTTTCATAATAACATCTTTGGTTTTATTGTATTAATGTTGTTTCTGTCTTCTCACTAACTTTTGAGTTCTTTGAGGACAGCAACTGTTTTAGTCATCTCAGTAGCTCCACTCTTAGAATTCAAAATGTAAAGCAAAATAAATAAGTTATTCACCAAATTGCTGTGACTCTTATTTTTCATTAAGGTATTAAGTGGCGTGTTTGTGTGTGTGTCTGTGTGTGTGGGCATGCACATATGTATTCATATCATTTTTGTTAGAATTTGGTACCTTTACCCACTCATATGCCTGCTATATTTTCTTTTCCTATCTCATTCACATGAGATAATATCTCTCATAAATGTAAACCAAACCTAGTTGACATGAAACTCCTATGCCCCCAAGGAAGACTTAAAACTGCTTGAAGTATCTTGTCTTGTGGGAAGGACAATTTGAAGAGTGTGTGGGTCATTGAAAGCAGGATAGGGATGCCTGTTCATTCTGCTGAAAGACTTCTCATTATGCTATTGGCCACAAGGTGTCCATCTCTCAGTAAGAAGAATGCATAGCTTCTGAAGAGTGTGTCTGCTGCCACCCCCAGCTCAAGGGACTTTGAAAAGTTGTTTAAGGATTGTGTAGGTGGCTTGAGACTCTATCCAAAGGAATAGCAATGTGTGATCTATAATAGTTATTCAATGACTAAGCTACCAGCATCACAAGGCCTGCAGATGACTAATAATTATTCTCATTCTACAGGGTATGGTTTGCAAAACAAAGTAAGCCAGGCCTCTGCTCTTTTGTCCTGTGAGTCATTCCTGTAAAATGAGTACCCTGGGCTCCAGTGGTAAGGCTCAGAGAGCACCAGGAATACTAGCTGGTATTTTTCACTTTTCTCCCTGCCTTCTCTATCCACCTATCTCCCCTACAGTCCCAGTCCTTTTGAGGCCACACTTCCCCTTGAAAGCCTTGAGTGGAGGCTGTGCTGTGCTGGGGTTAAGAATCCGACTTTGAATTCTAACATAGAGGCTCGCATCTGGACTCCCTCATTCCCAGATGTGTGGCCTTGGGCAAAGGACTTAGCTTCTCTGAGCTCCAGTGATTCTCATTCTCAGATGGAGATAATGAAGTAAGTTACAGAATTGTTGCGGAAACTAATGGATATAAAGTGCTTAGTATACTGCCTTGGTGCAGACTAAGAGCTCAAGAAATGGTAATTATTATTAAGATTAGCTACAAGTTTTCCTCAGGCTGTCTGCAAAGAGTGAAATAGCTGTATGATTTAGGGACTTAAGAAAAAACTTCTCTAATATTTTGTTTACTCATCTTAAAAACCAATTATAATAATCTCTACCTTACAGTTTTGTAAGCAAAGTAGAGCAGGACATGGCAAAGTGTCTGGCATAATGTAGTTCCTTTACACATATATATTTTTTCTTTTTTCTCTTCATGGTGGATGGAAGATTCCCTTGGTGTGTTCAAATTCCTAAAGTAGCTCTTTCAGGCCTTTATGGTAGAAGGTGTTAGTTCTTCAGCACTAACCCCAGAAGACTGGTTTCTAAACACTAGGATATACACTGATGCTGGGTATTTATCTGCCTTGGAAGATAGAAGGGGTTTGGAGTTTCTGAAAATGGCAGAGGCCTGGGCACTGTTGACATGTACTACCCTGGATAGGGTGTGGCCAGTTGCAAACCCACAGAGGTCGGTACAGTTTAGAAGTAACATAGACAAGGTGATGTCTACAGGACCCATTCCCAAATGTTCTGGGCCAGGAACTATGATGGTGTGCTTATTTAAGAGTAGAGAAGAGGAGCCACTCTCTAATGACATTCAGTGGTCTTCCTGCCATTCTTCCCACTGTGGGCTCACAGATAGACTGTACTCCATTTCGACTAGTAAATGATGTGGCATTTTTTGGATGCTAATGTGGAATAAGTTCAAATTGAGTATATCTATAAACAACAAGGAAGGTAGGGCCTAATCAGAAAGGCTTAATAAATGATAGTTGATATTATTCTTATTCTCTCTCGAAGAGAGATAGGGTTTCAGGCAAAATACTTAAGAGTGAGGATTTTGGAGTCAGAAGCAAGAATATCATTGTTGGCTCTCCATCAGTTACTGTCTTCATTCTCTTAGGCAAGTTGTTAAACCCTCTCTTTCTTCATCTATATGGTTCAGATATTAAGATTCTGTTTCACAGAGTGTGGTTGGTCATAAGAGTTAAATGATGGAATCGTGTCTAGCTTGTATAATTGATTGATAGTTGTTATTGTTAACATTGCCATGGTTGTATAGTAGCTGTTGAGGGAAGCTTTGTGCTTTTTACATTACAGTTCCTGACGATCAGTGTAGAAAGATAAGAGTTCAAGACCATCAGTTCCAACCCTATTGTGCTTATTAACATTCACGCTAGAGGATTCTGGGATGCTTTACAGTGAATATGTAGGCTTAGAAAAACATCTTTTGAGAATAACCATGCATTTTCATGTTGATGGTCCTGACATGAAAAGCTTTACATGGTTGGAAATGACCAAGGACAAAGATAAGATATTTTGAAACACTTTCAAGGCAAGAGTTTTTTCTTTGGAAGTAGTGATAGAGTGAATAAAAGAGTAAAAATTTTGGGAACATGGAAATATTGCAATTTCATCTATAATGCCCTTTGGAGATGTAAATTAACTTTATTCTTTTAGCAAAATAAATCATTTGTCATAAGCTTTTTTCCCCCTTTAAAGATCTAAAGACCTGGTGTGGGATGAAGAGAGAAACCTCTGAACATTTGGAGGATGTTTTTCTTTACTGCTGTTCCTAATTTATTGAGAGCAAAAATAAATCTTCTTTAAAAACACCTGACACCTTTTGTTTCAGGAGTCTTTTCATGCTGGAGTTAGTGCAGACTAATATTACACCTCTTTTTTGTTTTCTTTACAGTTCAGTTCAATTCAGTATATTTTATTTCAATTTAATTCAGTGTAACTTAATTAATTTATTGTCATTGACTATGTGTTTGTACCTAGTCTTAACCAAATGGGGAAACAAGAGAAATAAGTGGCACAACCTCATATTTCCCTGGGAATTCTGAGTGCTTATGTAAACCGAGAGAACCTCAGTTACAAGTGGGTAACACTGAGGTTCTCTCGGTTTACATAAACACCCAGAATTCCAGGGAAAACCCTACAAATGCAGGTGAGAAGAGCCCAAGTGCATAATTCTGCCATTCTCCTTACTCCACTTGATATTCTCGTTTATTCTCTAATAGTTTTTCAAAGAAGGAGAAAATTGAAGATATAGAAGAAAATTGAGTGTCATGGAAAAATGTTACAATCTATTTTTAAGTGAAAGAAGTCAGATTGTAGATCTATATATATAGTATGATCCAAATTTTGTATGTGTGAAGGAGAATAGTAAGCATAACTTGTTGGATCATCTCAGATTTGACTCAAGTGCCCAAACTAAACACTAAGGGCCCAAGTCTTTTCGTTTTCTGAAATGATGTGCTAAGCCATCAATTAAGCACTTGCAAAGGAGATGTCACAGAGCTGGTTCTCTCAGCATCAGCTCATCACCCACCTCAATACAAAGGATGCTGAGAATTGATAGGAGATTGGATATCTGGGAAAATGAGCTGGGGAGAATTACTAGAGGCAAATAATTCCTTCTCACTACAGTATGAGCAAAGTGTACCGGTTAGCTATCACCATAATAATGCTGTGTAACAAACAATCTCATAATCTTATTGTTATTAAAATAAACATTTATTTTCATGAAGTTGCAGGCAGTCTGCAGTTTGGAAGATCTAAACTGAGTTCCTCTTGGCAGCTCCAGTTCAGACTGTGGTTTTGTCAGGCTTGCTCCTAGATGTAGATTGGGTTTCAGTCTCTTCACTGTGTCTTGTTTTCCTGGAACCAGTGGTTGCCCAGGACATGGTGGGATAAATACAAGAATCAGCTGAAAGATGTAGTGTCTCTTAAGATCTTGGCTCAGAATTGGCACAATGTTGCTTCTTTCCGTAACTGATTGGCAAAAACAAGTCAGATGACTTGCCCTACATCAATGAGACTGGAGAAATAAACTGTACCATGTGGAGAAGATGTATTTACTAAACAACAATTTACCAAAGAAAACTGACTGGAGAACTTAATATGTTTCTCTTGGTATTTGGGGAACATAAGCACCAGTACCTGATCTTGGATTGAAAATGTTTATAGAGGGCTATGTTGAAAAGTTATCATAGTTGCAGAATTTAGTTGGCCTAAGATTTATGTGTGTTCCTGGTATGCCAGAAGTGAACTTTATGGAAGGGAGCTAGTTATGGGCTGCACTGTAAAAGTTTTCTGAAAGGATGCTACCTGGAGAGATGAAGTGACAAAATGAGATAATGTGTAAGTGGAAAGGAAGGCAGGGGCTAAAATACTGTTGTGCATGACCAGCTACTACAAGCACTGGAGCAGCAGGAATTGGTTCTTCTTTATCAAGAAGTATATATAAATATAAAGAGTATCTTTATTGGATGCTCTTTATAACTGAGTATCAATTAGAGCCCAATCAGAGAAGAAGAACCACTGTAAGTAGGAATTAGATCTTACACTGTTATGGGAGCTGGTGGGGATGTCATGCAGGACTGGTGGTCTGTGTCTGATGTTGAGCCTGAAGTCACTATAGGTCACCCAAGCCAGCAGCTGAGATGGGAGATGGTCGGGGAGTTGGGAGAACAAGGGAAACCCATGAGAGGTACTGAATTCCACAAAAACAAGCTGAAGCATTTGTCTGTCTCCCACTACCTCCAAACTTAATGGGAAATGGGTACTCCTCACATGGAGTTGCACATGCACCTGACCCAGGGCTTGAATAAGCTGAAGGAAGAGATCCAGGGAGTGCTAGAGGAGCTGCAAGTTCAGGAGCTCCCCCAAAGTAGCAACACACTCCAGAAGCTGTGAGCTCAGGTCCTGCCCCACACAGCAACGCAATGTAGAAGGTGTAAGCCTGGGTGCTGTCCCATACCAGCAACACAAGCTGGCAGATCAGTGAGCTGCCACATGCATGAGCTGCCAGTGTCTGGCGGCCTACATGAAACTTGAAGGTGTTAAGCGTGGCTGCTTCTTCTCTATGGTCTTTTCTATCTCGTGTACATTTTTCTTATAGCCTCTTCAACTTGGAACCTCATGGAGATGAAACTCTGGGAATTGAGTTCCTGCTTAGCTAAGCTGACATGTTACAAAGCCACCATGCCCTTTAATCTCTTTAGAGAGTTCTAAACAACAGTTAGAAAGTGAGGGACAACGTGGACTGAGGAAGCAAGTGAGAGTGAAGAAACCTGCCTTGAAATCACGATGTCCTTCCTCCCTCAGGTTCCCAGCGTAAGGCATGTATGCACTGTGGAGTGGAGAAGGGCTTTAAGTTGGTTGAGAGAGAGTGTGAACTTTGTTATATGTGAAAGTGAGTAGAGAAATGCTGGAAATTGCATGAGATTTCACGCAAGTGCTGAGAAGCGTCAACCTTAAATAATGAGATTCAGAAAATATGATTAAGTAGAGTTTATTCAAGTGTAAAACTTGAAGGTAGAAACCCAGGAGGAAACACGGATTCCAAAAGAATGGGTCAGTGTTCCAAAGTAGGGAAATTAAGGCTTTCACTTACATAGGCAGAGATGGAGAAATTTAACAGTCGCAATATTTTCCTTGTAAGACCAATACATATGTTACAATGATTTCACTGGTTACAGGTTCCTACATTCCAAGGTAGATTGCTTTAACATTCCATAAGGAGGGGTAATAGTTTCCTGGGAGTCCTAGCTCTCATGCTTTTTGGTCTTTCCTTATTGTCTATAGTACAAGAATAAGTAAGGGAGTTAATCTATGATTGGAGAAGCCGAAGTTGCAGCTGTATGCTACACATGACACAGGCCACATAGCCACATTCCTCTCAAGGCTCAAAATAATATAAAGTTCCACCAGGTTTAAGTTTAAATTCTTTAATTTCACTGAAGGGAGGATCACAAGATCAAGGAAGAAAGGCAGAGTGTGAAAAAATAAAGTAGCTTTTGGCTATATTTTACTTTGACTGGATTTTTAAAATTGTACCTGTATACGCAGGTGTGTGTGTGTGTGTGTGTTTGTGTATTTTGGG